AAACATAATTTCTATAATGAATGATGCTTTTTCTTTGACAAAATTCTCGGTGCAGAATCGCCCACTTATTTGTTTGGCGCTTTTTACAAGGGTAAAAACAATTGGATTTTTTTCAATTTTTGTTTACTTTTTAAGTGAAAATAGGTCGATGTGTACATAGATAAAGTCAAGGGTGTGCACAGTGCCATTTTTGTGCAATTCTGGGATTTTTTTTTAAAATGAAAATAGGTCGATGTGTACATGGATACCGAATATGTGCAATGCTTAAAAACATGTTCTTAAAACAATTCCCAAGTTGTTAAATCCATAGGATATCAAAAAAGGATTTAAAAAATTAAACTAGTATTTCAAAGGCGTCTTAAGAAATATAGAACTATCTAAACTTACGCAATTTGAAATCAGCGCGTAGCTAGATTTGGCGCTGTTCAATGGGCGCGTTTGCTAGATTTGGCGCTTTTGCACAAACATTTTCGGTGCAATTTTTTACGGTCCTCAAAACGGAATAGTACCATGATTTTTTTATAAATTGTTAATAAAATTATTATTTTAAATAAAATAATCATTCAGATGGTATAGTGGTAAGAGGGAGCCTACTACGGAACCGAAGGGCCTGGGTTCGAATCCTGGAGAAGACATGGATGTTTATAAACGTATAGTGTCAGTGCAGCACTCTAAATATGCGGTGTGCTAAAAGTCCTCTCATGTGGATAGGTGGGAGAACTCTGAATCCCTCCGGAGTGCTCTCCTTCAAAATTGGGGGTGGAAAACAGAAGTCCAACCTCTCTTCGGAGTAGGCTCTGGCAACCAATGTTTCATGTAATATGGGCATGACAACAAGTAAAATAATAGAATTTTCTGGTATCTTTATATATATTATTTTATTTAACCCTTTGACAGGCGTCCCACCTTTTCTATCTCCCAGACGAAAGCTGCAAATTTCCATTTAAAATACCTACAATTATTACTTTTAATTCTCTAAATGTATAACAGATGGCAGCACTAGTATTCATTCATATAAATGTAAAATAAAAAATTCTTTGAAGGTCTTATTTTGAAGCAGTTTTTTTGTATTTATTTCTAATGCAATTTAAATCGTCTGAACAACAACTTTAAGTGTTAGAATAAATATTTTTATGTAAAAGTTTCCTTTTCTAATAAAAATTATTATTTGCATTCATATATATTAATTAAGAATGGTTGAAATTAAAAGGTGGGACCAAATACGCCCACCTTGCATGCAAGAATTGTTGCTACTAGATGGCAGCACTGTTCAAATATTTTTTAAATTCAAGTATCATGTTCGTTTTATATGTTATAATGCAAATTTATATTTTTTAATAAATTGCAATAATGTTAAAACTTGAAAAATATTTAGTATTTTTTCCAAAAGAAATGAAAATATAACTCTGTGACATGAAATGTCATTGAATACTGAATGGATACGTGAGTGTGATTCACCATAGAAAAATATCCTAAACAGAGGAACGAGAGGTGAATTGTAAATAAACATGACAGCCTTCTAAATATCTTCCTTTTCAAACCTAGAGAGCTATTTTTTTTTTAAATTATGTAATTTTGTTTGAAAAAAAAATATTTTTCATTTTAAGAATATTTCTAGATAATTATTCAAAAACATTTTTTATATCTTCGTTTGGTTGCTAAAATTAGCACTTTAGATAAGCATACTAGGAGAATTTATGCTGAGGCAAAGATGCCATTTTTACTGCTCTAGATGCGATGTAGGACAAGTGGTATCCCACCATATCATGAATTACCTTTAAGGTTAACCTGTTTTTTTTTTTTTTTTTTTTTTTTTTTTTTGCATGAAGTGACATTGTATTAGGGGTTAATTATCTATGTGTAAAGTTATTTTTTCCAAAAACAATTTTTTTATGCACCGAACCTGCTTACATAATTATATAAATATAATAATTTAATACATTCTGTTTAAATTGTTATTTTAAATTGCTGACAAAATTCTATTAAATACCATAATAAATACATATTTAATTTAAATATCTTCTCTCTCTATATATATATTTAAAACAATATTGAATAAACTCCTAATTTATTGTTTACTGTAGCAAATTTGGTTTTTGTGGATGTTTACAATATCCACAAGTTTGAGCTAAAAACTGTCCTAAACTGTGGCATCACACTTTTATATTACCAACGCCACTATAGAAGAAAGTACCTCTAAGAATTGTTTAACTTTTAGTATTCTGCAATAAAATATTTCAGGTTTCCTTCCACTGGCACTTCCGCAGAGAAACCCCTGGCGACACTACCCACTGCACTTTTTAGCACCAAGCTCACCAAACTCTTGCTCTAAACACATTAAAAATAAAGTTAGTTATTACTCTGCCCATCATCTATTTGTCCCCAACATACGGATTTAGCAGGCATATTTTCAACTGAAGATTAACAGGTACTTTTCCGTTTCGCCGGCGCAAATCTCGCCAAGCAGACTTTATTGGCGACAACATACAGTATACACATAAAATATATTTAAAAAATGTGTTCTAAGAATTCTTTTTTTGAAGGCATAAACATTTTAATATTGCTTAAAATTTTATAAAAAGCCAATAAATTTGTAAAAAGACATTAATATAAGAATTTACTATGCTTTCATGGTTTAACATCCTGATTCGCCGGTTTATATCACGTGACACCAAGCGATCTCATCTCACGTAAACTACTCTACAAAAATCTAATGCTCTCAGTAATTATCTACATTAATTTCAAGTTAAATCTTAATTTGGAACACAAGTTTAAATGCAAGAAATATTTCAATTCGTACGAATAGCTTACTCAGAAATTATGTAAAACTGCAGTGCTTTACTTCGCTAATGCATTCTAGTTAGAATTGATGAATTTAACTCTTGACTTTACTTTTCTATATTTTCGGCTTTGGGTTAAGCGTTGTGATTGCATCCTAATTGACTTAATTACCGAAAATAGCCTTAGACATAAAACTGAACTATCTGATAAAAATCCTATGTAATTATATGCCAGTATTGAAAGAAACAATCAATCTGATAAGAAAAAGCTGTGACTTGATTTGAAAAATGAGGCTTAAAAGGTTACCAGTGAGAATATTCCGTTTGGCATCGGTTGTACCATTATTGGCGACTTTATCGCTTGTGCCGGCAAAACGGAAAAGTACCGATTAACAAAACAGCATAAATTTTTCTGAAAACACAATTAAATATTCTTCATCTAAATAAATAACAAAAATACGTTTTCTTACAAATAAGAAAATTATTAAATAAGACTTGAAAAATTCACTTAAAAATACTACATAATGTCAAATCTTTTTTCATACTAATAACTTAGATCAGTGGTTTACAATCTGGAGTACATAATAAAACTTTTAAGTACCTTCCGATATTGTGAGAGCTGAAAAGAAGCTAAAGTGTATTTTATTTTATTCTTACTCTGGTAAACTAGATTTAGCTATTAATAGAACCAGTATGGTAGTTACAAATAACTTAGCAAAGCATAAAAAGTCTGGTGGTCCTTGTGCAAAAGAACTCGAACTTGATTTAAATTCACTTGTAGAGAAATTAGGATTTTTTTGAAGCAGAAGATGTGAAAAATGAGCAATGCCCTCGCCGGGACACTGAACCACGGCCCTCTTGAATTTGCGTTGAACATGCTGATCACTATACCACGAAGGCATGCTAAGGTGGGAGAAATAAATAAATACCTTACATAATCCCCCTTTTAAATGGCAACTGGGGTTTTAGGGGACCCAATCGCCAAATCCTGGTGGTGAAGAATCATCATTCACCACCTTTCAGTTCGGGCGCCACTGTAGTCATTAGGAATTTTTCGAAGCAGTAGATGTGAAAAATGAGCAATGCCCTCACCAGGGCTCGAAACAAGGACCTCTCGAATTTGCGTCGAACATGCTGACCAGAACACCACAAAGGCATGCTAAGAAGGGGGGAGAAATATCTTATACACTTTACAATATTTTCAGGTTATTAATAATATGATTTTTGTAAAATATATTAAAACTAAAGTTGGTGTTTTAAATTTTTAGCCAATTTCATTCAGAAAGTTTCTTGCATTTTTATTCTGAGTAGGAAAGGAAAGCTTTTATTTATCAAAATATGGTGCTACTTTGGTAGACAATTGCACAGATTTTGGCGAGCGATACAACTTATGGTAAACCCATTCCTGGACAAGTTATTTATGGTATGACTTTGTTGTCATTTTATTTAAAAAATAATGCATTTTATTATGCATACATTCCGTGTTTTAAATATTATTTATGGCTTCTAAATATTAAAAATAAATTAAATTTTGTATTTTTATTTGAAATAAAAATTTTATGTATATATTTTATATAATTTTATGTTGTGGACGATGTAATCAGTGATGTCACCCTACTTTAAAAGTAATTGGTTTTAATATTTATAAATTTAATCTAATAATTTAAACATTATTTATGGCTGTTAAATATTAAAATACAATTTAATTTTGCATTTAAAAAATGATTTTATTATGTATGATTATTTAAATAATTTTAATTTCATGCATGATGTAATCAGCTTTAATTCTATTTTTTTGCTATATGAAAGTAATAATTTAGGAGTCAAACAACAAAAACCAGCATTCATTTTTGAAAAATGAATGCTGATTTTTGTTGTTTGGCTTCTAAATTAATATTTGTTTGGCATGTTATTGTATCTTACTTACTTTAGTATTTTATACTTGTAGGAAATGTATTTATTTACTTTTACCTACCACCTTAAAAACCAATGTTTTTAACAAAAAATTAATCCCTTATTTTTAGCAATATTTATTTATTTTAAAGTTTTGAATACTTTACTATGCGCAAAATAAGTAAAAATAGTGTTTTTCAAGATGGCTGATGATTGCAAAAAACGTGCCAACGTAAATCGCCAAAAATCCGTGCAACTGTCTACCAAAGTAGTACCTAAAATATTTTTAAGCATTGCATGAAACTTCATAATAAATTCTAGAAATGCTTTTAGATCAAATAAAATTTAATACGAAAAATTAAGCTGAAAAATCACCAGACAGGGGAGACAGAATATGCATAATTTTAATTTTCATTAATTAAATTTTATTTATTGCTCAAAAACATTTTCCTTGATAAAAGCTAAAAATTATGAACCAGAAGAGTGTGCAGTTATGCATACATATATCTAGGAAGTCTATAGAGTATAAAAGGTGGAACACATTTATTTAAATAATGTCTGCAATCACAATTTTTTATGTTAATACCAGCTTGAGTCAAACCAAGCTGACATAACCTGTGCACTTATAAATCTCCTTAATACGTGTTATGTAATAATTTTCTCACAGTAAATTAAAATTTTGGAGATAACTGGCTATTTCTTTCAGAAATCATATCTTCCAATGTACAATAAACTAATAATTACGATGCAAAATTTCACTGCCATTGCCTGCTGCAAGTCTTATATCATTAAAATTATGAAATGGGATTTCAGTTGGATTTTCATTGCAATTCTTAGTTTTTTAATTTTCTGATGTTAGACATCCATTGATAAAATTTATATTTGAATTAATAAAATGTTAATTCAAGATATTCTCACTCATCAATGATATTAAGAACAATACATATTATTGAGCCATATCATACAATACTTAAACACATTTTCAAAAAAATGTGGGAAAGTTTGAATGCAAGATAAGCAGTTTGAAAAACATATAATTAAGTTTAATAAAAGAAAAACTAGTTTAAAAAATACTACTGCAGGGATAAAAATTCAGTTAGATAGCTTTTTCAGTAATAATTATAATAACATATGTGAGTACTCTCTATTAAATTAAATTTTTAATATATGATAATTACTAATTCAGAAAAATTATTTTAGATCTGATAGTACAAATACATAAAAAAATTTTATTCCCTTAAAAGCATAAGTTAAAAAACTATTTAACTTTTAAATAGCAAAATAGATCTCTATAAATATTTGTAATTATTAGGTTTAAAGAATGGACAGTCCTAAGTGGACGGTCAGAAGATCCAAAAACTTAAATACAGAAAATTCTAATTTTACACTATTTATACATAATTAAATGTAAAACTAAGTTTCACCAACTTTGGCAATAAGATCATCACAAATACTGCGGAGTTTAGAACTCTCACTTTCTCTTTGTTTACAATCACTTTCCAAACTTGATATCTTTAATTCAGCTTTTTTTAGCTGAGCTTGTAACACAACTATCTGTGCTTCACTGCATTTTTTTGCTTGGGCAACCTCAACATTGGCTTTCTCTTCAATTTCCTGCATCTGCTTTTGGAGCAACATACACTTTTCTTCTTGTTTTTCTAACTTTATTTGCATATTTTCAAGCTCTTGCTTTAAGTGTTCTTCATTATCTTTATATGTTTTCAACATACTCTTACACTGTTCATAACGTTTATGAAAGTCAGAAAATGTTGTTTCAACACTTTGAAGGTCTTCAGCTGAAGTCTTGAGCTCCTCTTTCAAATTTTCATTTTCAATTTCTTTTTTTGCAAAATTTCCACATAATTCTTTATGCTTTTCAGACAGAGACAGAGTTAAATCAGAAAATGTACTCAATACTTGATGAAAAGCAGTGCAAAGTTTACTTAATTTTTCAAATTTCAAATCCATCTCTTCTGTTTTCTTTGTTATTTTTTCATCCAGTTCTTTCTGCCTTTTTAGATACATTTCTTGAAATTGTAGTTCACAAATCTTAACAGCTTTCTGAAAATCTTCCTCAGTATACAATTTTGGTGGTTGACTTGTTCCAGGAATTTCTTGTTTTTCAGCTTTGCTTATCTTCATTGGAGAATCGAATGAGATCAGAATATTACCTAGAGACTCCCTAAGTGATAAAGTATCTACAGGTTTGTTAACAGATGATAATTTTTTCTCCTCCAAATCTTCATGCAAGGAATCTTGTTCAGGTACACTTTCATTGATATCTGGCAGTCCACTCGGTTTATTTAACATCTGATTAGAAGAGTTTGAAAGCAAAGGATCAAATTTGACATACAAAGATGACCGTGGAATAGATGGATCACATTTTTCAGAAGTTCCAACGTTCTCTAGAAAATTGAAAGAGGAAGGATCTTTGAAGAATTGGACAGCATCATGAAAGTCCTCTTCTTTGAAATTAGTGTTATCTTGATCACTACTTATATTAGAAAACACAGTTCCCAAACTATTATTAAATTCATTTAAATTGGTATCTGTAAAGTCAATTAATTTCACATTTTCTGCATTTTGCGACGTGTTATTGTCAATATTTAGCAATTCACATTTCGAACTGAAGCTGTTATTACATGTATCAATAATAGATTGAGAGCTCAAATTAAAGGCAGTATCAGCAGACTTTTCCAGATTATCAGCTACTTTTTCAGGACTCTCGAATGATATAATATTTTCATTCGAGTTCTGACATAAGGGAACACAATTTATATCAACAATACACTTTGTTGATGGTGATAGTTCAACACCTTCATTTGACTGAGGTATTTTATCCCATTTACTTGAAGAATTTTTGTTTTCATCCAATTGTATAATATCGATATCTTGAACACAGTTATTATCTTCTGCCATTTGTTTTATAAAACGAAAACAATCGGTTCAATTAAAAAAAAAAAAAAAAAAAAAACATGGAACACCAAAAAAGGTATACTAACGGACATATTACGGCGGGCTTTGAATTTACACTTTAATTTTTAGTTGAGTTGTAATACCCCTTCTGGATTCCAAGAAACAATTTCGGCCGTTCGTAGTATCATGTCTTCATGGGAGCAACATCCTCATTCATATATTTTTTTGGTATACATTAAGCTAAGACCTTTAAGAAGGTAAGTTTCACAATTTAAGAGCATAGACGTTAACAAAAAAAATAAGAAATTTTAGAAAAAGTTCGAATTACAATACATATCATAAATACTTTTAGTAATATTAAAAATATTTGCAATAATAAATTAATCTAAGAACTATAAAAATATTTTCTATGTTTGAAAATACGTTTTAATATTGAAAGTATTACTTTAATATTTTAAGTAACAAAGACACACGAGATCATTCCTTTCATTTATTCACATCGCCGAGGGAACAGCTTTCGTTTGAGGTTTCCAGTCAACATACATCTATGTTCAATGCGTGTTCTTTAGTTATTCTTTCTGTGAGTTATATGTTTGCAAAGTATCTTGCTAGACATAGATAATTATTTGAAATATATTACTATATCGTTGATTTTCATTACAGTTTTTTTTTTTTTTTTGTCAAATTAATTTTTTACATCTAAATGGAAACTTAGAAATATCGTAAAACGAAGAAAGAAATGTTCCGAAATTATAAAGGTGTTGTAGCATGGTACAATCCGTAAGTAATTAGATGCATTTATATACGTATACTACTGTGCATTATAATTTTTTATTTATTAAATGTACTGTTTTCTTTAAGATGCTACATTCCTATTTAGAATATTGGGCTCTGAAATTTAGATTACATGTTCATCTAGAGCTTTGCCGTAAGCTCAGCATCAGCATTTGGTAAAAAGTCAGCATCAGCATTTGGTAAAAAGTCAGCATCAGCATTTGGTAAAAAGTCGGGTGTCTTTTGATATGTTTCCCAATTCTATGACTCCAAGATTGGTCCCAAAAAGCAATATTTCCGGGATGGATGTGAACAAAACAATGCCGAAACAGAAACAAAAATACTTACCTTATTTGTTCTTGGCTACATCTTATCGTCAATGTCCGATGATTGTGGAATCTGCAGTTCTTTTATGCAATTCATGTAATCCCTGAACGGATCATCTTCCTGATCCCGGTACGGGTAGACTACATAAATTTCACAAAGTAGGAATCGAAAATGTCATCTGATGACTGCCAATGACCTCACTTTGGAAACTCCAGCTTAATCTAACTCCACGTACTCTCAGTTGTGTTGGTTAGGTGACCTTTCGGGGTCTTTGAAAGTCAAGGAGTTATTTACTGATAAATGCTGGAAGAATTGATAACAGAGGCAGTCATAGGCTTTCTAGCTGTCTGAGATATTGTATTGAGAAATCACCTCCAATAAAATCTTTCGTGCGATATTATTCTTTTAAAATCTTTTTAAAATTAATTCGGCAAACACCACAGAAAGGGACTGACAACTGACTGATCTCTATCGCAAGCAGCTGGCACCGAGTCTGAAAAGTCTCTCACATCACGCATGGTCACAATTGGCCAGACAAGATATGATGACATTATTTATTGACAGATTGTCACTCTTCTATAGTTTTCACCTTTCGTACAGTGCAGAGATAACTGACAAAGTAATTATCCTAAATAATACTTAACAGTTAAATATTTTTAGACTTTTTTGGTCATCTATAAAATCAAATTTAATTTTTAGCGGGACAATTGAGAAGTAAACCGGCCGAGACACCAGGATTTTGTCCAAAAACTGGGACTGCTGGCAAGCCTATATATATATACACATATATTTATAGACTTTTGGTGCGGCTGATTGCAAAGAAAATACGAGGTGCACATCTACATGCTATAGCAATCCTGTATGCAAAATTTCAATGTTCTGAGGCTAATCGTTTTTGAGTTATGCGAGATACACACAGACGCCATGAAAATTTCTCTTCAGAATTAATTTTAAATCAGTTTTATAATTTTTTTTTTTTTTTTTTTTGTGGGGAAAAGAATCCTTTATTCTATCCTTATGTATGGATGTCAGGCAAAAATATCAGTAAATTGCATTCAATAGCGGTCAAAATGGATATTTTCATTGAAATATGATGCTTGGATTTTTTTGCAATTACAATACTTCCTTTTTGCTTCATGCAAGGAAGTAAAAAGGAAAGGAAAATAGGTTGCTATAAATTAAGAAGTTCACCAATTGAGTTAATCTGGGGACAAACTGGAAAAAATCCGCCAACATAAAGTTTTATCCCAGAATTTTGCACCGAATTTTACAAAATTTTATATTTAGGCATAATTTCAGTCATTAAATTGAAATATAGAATAAAATTTGCATGTCATTTCTGATTTTTGTGTCAAAATACCTATATTAGAACAGTGCTATATATAAATCTAATTATCCTAAGTTGCACTTTTGAGACATGAAAAACACAATTTGAAATTTGTCAATAGGTCCAGAAGAATGGGAGATATAGAACTGTCCCATTTCTTTTTTGCAGTGTACATCACCTGAATACTTTTCAGGGAGGTGTAGATAATCACAAAGAATCTATATTTAATCACCTTGGTACCAGTGAATGCACAAGTACCATAAAATCTAAATCAATTTTTTTCCCCTTCTGATGTATTCTGCCATATAGTTGTGTAAAATCTTATAAATATCATAATTGCAATTCTTGTTGCTTTTGATATTAGGTAAAGATTTGGGAAGTATCATATAATGTGAACCTCTGCAACTACATACACTTCGTATATTGCACTGAAATAATATTACGTGAGGAAAAACAATATTTTCAGAATTTACTACAAATGTAAAAGAAAATCAAGTATTGAAACCTTAATTCAGAATGAGTTAATTTCGGGTTTCAGTGCATCTGATCAGGTATTTAATACTGCTGTAAAATTATTATTAGTTGTTTTAGTTCCATTTACATCACCAGCATTATGCAAGAGTCATATGACATGGATTAGTCTTTAAGTAACACAGTGCAGGGGCTATTGCAAATTTAAATTATAATTTACATTTACATATTTTTTTAATCTTACATATATGCATACATTTCTGAATGTTCTCCCGTTAACAGAAGAGTACCAGTAAAAGATAAAATCATAGAAGTATTTTTGGCTGATCTTTGGAATATGGTAACTGGTAGTTTGGCGACATTTTGAAGGCGATAAAGGTTACTACCTAGGACTTTGGTAATAATGTGAGCAGTACTCATTTCCGACTACGCATTATTTTGTGTGAGGGAAATGAGAGATCATGAGATATGTCTTGATATTAATGGACGAATTACAGTTCTTTAATCGGAAAAGGGGGGGATTTGGAAAAATATATGTGGCAGTATATTATTTTGTACTAAGCTTCGTTGTGTGAAGTAGCGTTGAATAATTTTCGGATTGTATGGCGCTGTGTAATATTATTTTAAAGATCCGGAAACAGGTGCACATACCAATACAATAGAGGGCACGTGGAGTGCTATAAAAAGTGCCATTCCGAGGCATTGTGATAAAGAGAATTTTGCTTTTTTATTTAGCGGGGGAAGTGTGGAGGAAAAATTCGCAGAAAAAATCGTTCAATAATTTTATTGAATCAATAATAAAAGTGTATCCACCATATAAGCAAGATTATTCTGAAGAAGATTAGGTAAGTTAGTATTTTTAATTATTTGAAGATATTATTTTTATGCATTGTTCTAAATGTAAGGTGGAAGTAAAGTAATTTGGTATTATTGGAAAATTGTTATTGGCAATGATTTAGTTTAAAATAATTAGGATTGTAACTAATTTTTATTAATTTAATGTATGTGCTTATTTATATTTTAAGTAGTGTTTTTGAATTTAATTATATTTTAATTAAATGATAGTTATTTTGTGAATTATATGTTTGTAGAATTTGGTATACGTTTAGAGTGGAAGTAACGTGCATGGAAATATTTAAATATTTGACACTAAGTATTTGTAACCATTTGTATGTTTGCGGTATGAATTAGTTGGTGACATTTGTAATATAATAGATAATGTAGAGGTAAAAGTTTTTGGATATTTTATTTATTTATACGTGGAAATGTTCATATTTGGGAAAGGGTATATACTTTTTCGATCAGGTAATTTCATATATGTTCTTTTTACCGGATTTAAAGATTCAGAAAATTGTCATGCATTTTCGTGAAATTTTTCTAATTTATGAGAAAAAAGCAGTGTATATGGATATAGTGAAGAGAGTGCGCAATGCCATTTTTGTGCAGTTCTGGGATGTTTTTTTAAGTAAAAATAAGTCGACGTGTACATGGTTTAGTGATATTTTAATTAAGTGATAGTTATTTTCTGAATTTTATGTTTGTAGGAATTTGGTATACGTTTAAGTTGAAGTAAACCTGCATGGAAATAATTTAAATATTTGACACTAAGTATTTGTAATGTTTGCGGTATGAATTCGTTGGTGACGTTTATAATATAATAGATAATTTAGAGGTAAAAGTTTTTGGATATTTTATTTATTTTATACATGGAAATGTTTATATTTGGAAAGGGTATATACTTTTTCGCGATCAGGTAATTTCATATATGTTCTTTTTACCAGGTTTAAAGATTCAGAAAATTGTCGTGCATTTTCGTGAAATTTTTCTAATTTATGAGAAAAAAGCAGTGTACATGGATATAGTAAAGAGTGTGCACAATGCCATTTTTGTACAATTCTGGGATGTTTTTTTAAGTAAAAATAAGTCGACGTGTACATGGTTTATGTGTACGTGTTAGTCTGAAAAACGCGCAAAGAGTTTGGGAACTACTCTGATATGCGCCCTCAAGTCGCCAAATATTTTGGCGAGAAACTTCACGCTGCCCTACTTCTAAATCTAAATTTTTTGTCTACGTTTTGAACTTTTAGCCTAAATGTCCTCCAAAAACGCGGTTTTCGCACATGCAAAACTATGTTTTGAACACCAATTTAGCTAAAAATCCGAAACAAAAACAAAAATTTAGATAGCAAAAACGTAAAGTTTCTAACTAAAATATTTGACAAGAATCCATGTACACAGCAACATGTTTTAACTTAAAAAAAACATCTATGAATTGCACAATGTAGGCAACGAACGAATCTACAAACTACGCACACCTCGCTTTAATAAATTAACATAACAGCAATGAATTTCAAAGAATACCATGTACACAGCATCCTGTTTAAACTTTAAAAAAATTCTACGAATTGCACAATTTAGGCAAGGAAGGAATCTACGATCTACGCACTCCTCGCTTTAATAAAGTAACATAACAACTATAAATTTCAAATAATACCATGTACACAGCGTTCTGTTTCAACTTTAAAAAACATCTACGAATTGTACAGTCTGGACAAAATAAACAACAAAATAAACTAAAATAAATTTCAAACAATTTAAAAAAACGACAGAAATTCATACTAAAGAACCAATGAACATAACATTCTACAAAATAAGAACAAGGATAAAATAAAATGCACTTACCATGAATTAATGCGTTTTCGAATAGCAGAAATATAAATTTCATACCGCCTTTAACATGCCGCCACGTAATTACTATCGTATTTACATGACAGTCAGACACACTATCCAGAAAATTTATACTATGGTTCACAAATAAATAAAATCACAAAATCCCTACTTCTATCATGCACTGCCATTAAAAAATAATCTCCCAGACCCTCTTTCCACACTTCCAAATACCACTACCCTCAACAGGATAGCCACAATCATATTTCCTTTTGCCGAACTTCAATTCAACAACTACCATTTTATCTTTCCCTCCCATCTTCTCAGACACAGAGGCGAACCAACGAGCTCCAGCGAAAGATTTTTCAACGTCAACAGGGTTGCCATAGAACACGCAGTCGCGCCAAAAACCAGCGCAGAACACATATCGCCACATTTGGTGAAATGAGGGCGTATATTAGAGTTGTACCGGAGTTTGCTATTGTGCAACTTTTTCCCAATTTTGCAGTGAATATTTGTCATGATTAAGCAGTTTTTTTAGATAAAATTTCTAGCATAAGTGTAATTCAGCTAGTAGATTGTTGGAAAAAGTGTTGAGTAAATAAAAAGAAAAGAAACATGTCTTTACTTCGTGAAGACAAAATGGCGGCGGAAAAAAAAATAGAGGGTTGCTGTAGCAGAGTTGGTCGCCAAATTTTCTCCAAAAAATCGCCAAGTTACCATAATCCAAAGATTAACCGTGTTTTTTTTAATTAGTGTACCTGTACATGTTAGTTTATATTTAAGTATTTCAAGTGACTAATATCAAAATGCTGCTTAAGTATTTTCTTATGCTACTAATTAATAAAATTATGTACAATTTATATTATCTTTCCTTTAATTATTAATTACCCTCTTAATTTATATTTAAAAATATGTATTATTTTTCTTAGTGTCATCTATTTTGAGGTTTACTTACTTTGCTGTCAAAGCATGGTGACTTTTTATTAAATTACTGTTGAAGAAAAAAAGAAATGTGATTTTAAAAAAAATCTTGATTTTTTTTTGCATCCTGATATATAATATTTTGCTGTAATCCTTCAACACACAATTTTAGGGAGCAGTTCCGCAAGGTTTACCATTCTTTATACAGTAATGATCTTACAGAGAAACGATGGGCAGTAGATCAGATTTCAGTATGGGAAACACGGTGAGTATTCATTTAAATTTTTTTGTAAATATGCTGTGAGATGTTTTTGCTATTTGAATTTAAAGTAATATTAATCATAATGTTACAGAAAATAATAGTCGTACAGTAAAACTGAAAAGTTATGTAACCTAATGTGTGTATTAAATTATGAAAACATATATATCACATGGTTTAAATATATAATGTGTGTTAAATCATAATGTTTTTATTACTGTCCTAATGATGATGTATGTTTTTTAAGGTAGCTATCTTTCTGAATTCTTGCTCATAAATTTTTCATGAGGTTAATGGTCATTTATGTCCAGCTAAAACTGGCATCTGAATTGCTGTAGTAGTGTTAGTTCTGAGCTTATTGATTTTGTTTAAAAGTTCTTAGGTTTTTTTTTTAAATGATTTTTGGTCTTTATAAATTCGTAATTTCTACCCAAATCAGCAAAAGGTCCTTAATTTTACTCGTCTGACATTTCTGTCTATTTTTGTGCATCTACCTTTTGAGTGTGAATTAACATTTTGAAGAGATATTTTTCCAATTATTGACAAATATGTATTTGATAGGTTATCATTTGAATTTCTTACTTCTTAGGCTGCTATCACACATCCGTTTGTTTTGGAAGAACAACTGTTTGGAACGACTTTTCTGCTTTATCACAACAGATCACTTTGCCGTTAGCACAGGAGAAACTGCTTCTCCATGAACAAGCTGATAGCTGATTGGTTGAAAACGAACAACTTGCAATTTTTTTCGAAAGGAAGAAAAAAATCGAGCGTCTTTCTTTCTATAGTAAACCAGGCTGAAAAATTGTCCTAAACAGTTGTTTCACGTTGTTCACGTGAAACAAATGCCTGTGTGATATGGGCCTTAAATAGGGTGTGAGGGCTGTAAATCCTTGACTCAGTCAAACATTGTTTCGAAATTATTTCTTTTTTGAGAATGAATAGTTCATAAAATATTACATTAAAAACAGCCTTTCCCTTTTTGAGATATGATTTCTTTTTTTATTATGCGGTACTAAATTTGGTAATAATCCAGATATTTATGAATTTTTTACTTTTTTAAATAAACATAGTAAAATTGATAAATATATTAAAAAATATGATATTTTAAAATTGTAATTAAGAAATAACATTAAAATGAAGCAATTTTTTTCCCATGTCATATTTTAAAATAACATTATTTTCTGTTTGTGTGGCTTGGGAATATTTTCATTCTGGAAAATAAATTAGGTAACAAATGCTTGAAACATAGTTCAAAGGAATGATGTCTGGGCTATATGGTGAATGTGGCAAAAGATCCCATTCGAGTCTGTACAGTATCCAGCCGGTGAATGCAGACACATGTGGTCTTGCAGTATCGTGACGGAACATTACCTTTTTGCGTCGGAACTTAGTTCGATGTTTCTCCTCAACACGGACTAGCATCTCGCTGTACACCTTACTGTTGAGGGGTTTACCTTTTTCCAGAAACTGGGAATAATATCACGGCAATCCCACCAGATATAAACCGTGATCTTTTTGTTAGTCAAATTGCATATTGTGGCATTGCGAACAGGCTCAGCGGGACCAGACCAAGCCCCTTTCTGGCTTGTTTTTGAAGTGAATCCACTTTTCATCACAAGTGAAGATTCGATCCAGTATTTTGTCCTTGCTTTGATGTTCAAGCAGATTAGTGCAGGGCCGAATATGTCTGACCTTATTTGGTTGAGTCAGCTCATGTGGCACCCAGTGATTGAATTTGTACATCAAGTTTATTCAATGCATAACTCGACTAATGGACATGGCACTAACATCTAACTCCTTAGCAAGCTCTCGGGTGGTTGCATAGTGATCTTGTTCCACAAGTTCATGCAGGCTGACCTCATCAACATGAGTAGGCCACCCAGAGTGCTGTGCTTCTTGAATGTAATAGTCCTTGTTTGTGAATTTTCAGTGCCAAACCTTCACAGTGTCATATGATGCAACATTAGTACCTAAAGCTATACACCTGATTTGTTGACATTATGTAGCTGACCTTTTACAACATACCTGGAATAATCTGTAGCGTCATAGTTCCATTTCAGACACCTTGTACTTAATTATAATGATATTTTTTTTACAAATTTCACAATATAGTGTTATAAAGCAAGTCTCTTTCTTTTAAATGCCAAAAATTGTTTGACAAAATGTGATTAAATCCACCAACGTGAACTGTTTGCTTAGGCGATGTTAGCAGTGGCGGGAAACTTTCTTTAAAACCCAATATCATATTCAATCAACATTGAGGAGCGAAAAATTTGAGAGCTAATTTTTTAAGAACTATTTAAGCAGTTTTTACAGAACTCGTTACCTTGGCATAATTTGAATCGTGGAATCAAAATATGGAAAAAATATCATTATGTCATTTCAGAAAAAGTCTGATTTTCTATCAGAATACCCATGTAAGAAAAATTGCTGTGTATAAATCTAATATATATCATAAGTCACACTTTCGAGACATGGAAAATGCAAGTTATATTTCATCGATTGACCCAGTAGAAGGAATGATATAGAACTGCCTCCCCTTTTTTTTGTGCAGTGTACCTCTGAGAAGTCTGCCTTGTGTTATTGAGGCTAAATAAATTCAAATTAAGCAAATTAGATTGTTACAGTAGTTTTTTTCAGTATTGGTTGGATTAACAGTGATCTGATGATACATGTGAGCTAAATATATTGTTGTAAATATTCTTGTAAAATACTTGGGAGGAGTCTTTGGAAGGGGGCTGTGTTGCCAAATGCCCACCTGTGGTGAGATAGCTTCCCTGCAGAGCGGGGTTTGGGTTACCAGATTTGGCAAGGAATCTCCCATTTGGTGACAAAATTGCCGATATGCCATAGGGGGAGCAAGAATATTCTGCAACACATTCTTAGTGGTTTTCACAAGAATGTTCGTGAATGTAGGTTAAATCTCTCTCTATATACAGTCAAAAGTCGTTAATCCGGACTCGTCGGGACTTCGGCGATTCCCATCGTTTTTCCGGATTATCATCAGTTTAACTTAAGATGGCATGCAGAAATTACCCCCCAAATATGAAACCGTAATTTAAATTATGACAAGGGTATCAAAATTTACTTACTATCTTTCCTTCAAGTAAGTTGCCCTTTCAGTATAAACTTTCTCTTTAATTCTGTTAGGTTTCTTGTTTAGGTTAGGATGTTCCTGCAAAGTTCCCCAATTACCAGAATGCCAGGCAATCAGATCCTTCCAAGTTTCGTGACATGTGGAATTGCTCCCAGTTTCCGTTGTTGTTTAATTCGGACTCGACTTGGATTTCGGAATCGAATCGATTCCGGATATTTCAGTTTATGGTTTTTCCGATGGCATCAGTTTACGTTAAATGGCATGAGAACAGTAATTTATGAAATAAAGAACAATTATGATCTAAAGGGTATCAAAACAAAAAGAAAAAGCTTAATATTTATTTGTTTACTTTATTAAACATTTCCTTCAATGTAAGTTGCTTCGTTTCATGTGATAATACTTTCTCTTTAATTCTGTTAAACAGACATAATTTCTTGTTTAGTTACAAAGTTCCGCTGTTCAAGTCCTATAATTGCTGTGTTGACCGACTAATTTGTCAATCGAAATGTTTTCGTTTTCAATAACCTCTGGGTCACTTTCTTCACTATCGGAAGCGAATTATAATGACGAGGAACTTGATTTAAATCATATCAAAGACGGAGTATGTGGAGATGAAATACTACACTTAGTACGGAATTATAAACCAAATAAAATAAAACATCTGCTCTGAAGATAAGGATAGTGTTGACAGATCAACTTCCAATCCGCAGTGTGAAATTGATAAACAGATTTCGGATTTCAAAACATTACTTTCGCTTTGTAGATACAAATTACATATTAGTAAATATATATCGGAAATTCTATTTGACATAATCTTTCTAATCTATCATAATCTAATAATGACGTTTCTGCCCCTCCCCTCTGCCGCAGAGCAGCGTGAAATTGATAAACAGATTTCGGATTTCAAAACATACTTTCGCTTTGTAGTAAATATATATCGGAAATTCTATTTGACATACTCGAAAGTTCAAGCTTACTTTTATAAAATTGCTTTAACAGTCTGCAAAAAAATAATAAGCCGGATCCAATTCGAAGATTAAAGAACAACGCAATCTGCAACATTAACTGAATTAGATAACTTTAGCATAGCGTGTAACTCCGTTACACATTAAATGCGCATGCGCACAAACATATTCGCAGCTGTAACGGTCTTATGCGCTCTCGTAAACGCCTGTGCGCATGCGTGAACGCGACGCATGCGCAGAAAGTTTGTAGCTTTGAGGTCCGGATTATGGGTGTCCGAATTAACGACTTTTGACTGTATATATAGATATACACCCTTCCTGTTTACAGAGTAGTAGTATTTTGAGTTCAGTGTAGCAGTGACTTAAGAGATTAGCTCGAGAGCGATCGAATCGAGTTCGGAGCCCTGAAGCTGTCTTCATTGTTGTAGTCTGAAAGCTGTGTTGCTGATTGTTTCAGCATGTTTATCATAGTTTTTCAACAACTGCAAACGTGTCTTTGGAACCTTCCTGTGTAACATTGTAGGATAAATTGTATTTTGATTGTTCATCAGGCATTATTATTATTGCCAATTGCTCCAAATCCACAAATCTGTAGAATGCAGCAGTATGTTAGTATTCATATATGGTACTAGTTCATATACAGGTTTATTTTCGAATTCCATAAAAGAATATAAAACAATCGGTGTTCATTCTTGAGCTTTACAAAATCAAAGAGTTTGCAGTATGGACTAGCACTTAATTTATTTAGTAATATTTTGGGAATTAGAAGCAAAGTTCTCTTCATTTAGAAGAGCCATAAACTCAAGTTTAGTAAGGGAATGGAAATTTTATCTCAAATTAAAGTCACCTGATTTCAAATTTGTCAACATACATTCTTTTTGCTAACAATTCATTTGTCTCTTACACACTGGCTTTTCCCCATGCTGCTTCAAATTCATTTT